TAAAAATTATAAATTAATTCTATCTCTAGTCCCCCTTTATTTACTTATTCTTGATTTAATTAGTAGGTTAATTATTTATATGGTCCTTGAATTTATCGGTTATGATTAAGATTTTGAAAATAGTTTATATTTATATTGTTGTTCTTTTATATTGATTATTATATAACTTTATATAAGCAAAAAAAATAAACATATAATTTTATGATACTATTTTCAGCTAGTCCATCCAAGAAAAAAATCTTGACTCTGTCCTTAACGACACTAAGTCTTAATCTAGTCTTGTCAAGTAAAACTTAATAAAAGCAAACAAAGTACCCTTAAAGTCCACTTATGATTATTTCAAACGGACACGAAAAATATCACTGTTGAATTTATGGCCTAATTATAGTGGGCCTTTAGTTGACCCAGCAGCCCAATGTTAGATGGGTCTTATCTGCCCATGTAAAAGCCACATGAATGACTAGGGTTATAAGGTGGCAAGCATGTTCGATATATAAGGCAGCAGCTTTTTTATTTCAGATTATGAAGAGTGAACTGAGAAGCAGGCGAGCAGCCGATATATTTGAATAGAAGAAAAAGTGCTGCTCCCCTTTTTGTTGTCAATCACCCCATCAAAGTTGTGTTAATTTTGAGTTTTGTAAAGAGTGGAAGTTAATCACTATATTTTTTCTTTATTTTTTTTGTTTGATGTGTGAGAGTTATTTGGTGCATTGGGTTTTTGGGTTGTGAGATTTTCATAAATACTTTGTAAACACTTCATTTGGTTGATAGTGAATTATTGGGTGAGCTCCTACTGCTATGAGGACGGACTCCGTCCTTCAATTACGCTGACTGTTAAGAAACCTCGTTAAATTTTGGCATCTTTTCTAATTTATTCTTGCATATCATTTTGATAAATTTCTTGCGGGTTAGCTTGTGTTTTTCGGATCAGGATCCTCATCTTTGCATGGGGATCCTCATGACCAACAAGTATGGGCCGTTGGATGAAAATCCAACGGCTACAAACAGGGGGTCCCTTTAAAGTTATAATAATTATAGCCGTTGGATTTTTATTCAACGGCCCACACTTGTTGGTCATAAGGATCCCCATACAAAGATCCTGATCCGTGTTTTTCCAGTTGTTAGGGTGCTATTATTTGGAATGATTTTTAATCCAATGGCCAATACTTGTTGGTCATGAGGATCCCCATACAAAGATCAGGAGAGGATCCTGATCCGGAAAACACAAGCTAACCCTTGTACACACATTACCCGGATAGTGATTTGCTTTAGATAAAGAGCGGGTGAACAGAGTCCTTATCCAAAGGAATCTCATTTAAAAAATTAAAAAAAAATGGACTAGTTATGGAGCCCCATTATACATCAACCTTGAACGATCCGAACAATCTATTTTTAAGTATTTATCCATCGATCAACCTTGCAAAAAAATCAATTCAATTAGGAACCATTTACTCATTTGATTGTCATGATGAAATTTTAATGTTTCTTAGAACATAATATTCGTCAAATTTTTTGAACTCAACTAGATTCCTCAAACATTTCTGATGTCACTAATACAATGCAAGAATGATCTATAAAGTGCAACTTAAAAAATAGATAATTTAGATTGTTAAAGTTCAATGTGGAATATGCCCTACAACCATTCCCATTTTTACCCCAAAAAAAAAAAAAAAAAAAAAAAAAAAGAAAAGAAGTAGGAGATCTCCCTTTGGATAAGGGGTATGCATACATAAATAAAGCCTTCAGGAGTACATACGGTGGGAACGCCGCCGTGGAACCTTATTATAAGTAGTCCACCTGATGAGATCAACGTGGCCAGGAATATGGACTGTACCAAAAGGCGCAACAGGAAAGCAAGTGGTTGCATAAACCGGAGGACAAGAATTATCTGTCCTTCCATTTTCGATACTTTCCTGTGTCTTTATGTTTTGTGTGATCACAGTTAAACTACGTCAACATTTTATATTATTTTTTTATAAAAATAATAAAATAAAAATGAATAATAATATAAAATGTTGACGTGATTTAACCGTGACCACAAAAACAAGACGAACCGGAAATGGAAGGTCAGACAATCCTTATCCTAAACTGAAAACGCATCGTACTTGAGCTTTATCCTTTGGAAGGAATAAATGCTCTGCAGAACTTGCTGACTATGTTGAACAAATATTTCTTCAGCTCCTCCATGTTCATACTCCTCATACCGTCATCCGTGATAGAAGCCATTTCTTTTTGTTGGGCAAATGCTGGAAGCTAATAATAGTGTTCTCTCTTCCTGCTATGGGTAGTTACTGATAATGTTTGTGTTCATAATTATTCTACAAAGCACCATGTTTAACTTCTATACAACAGTTTCAAAAGAAAATGCTTATTTCGAGACCAGAATTCCGTAATTTTCAAATCAACTTCTTTACTTTATACGTGTATGAAGATTGCGCATCAAAATTGTCGCCAACAACATTGCCGATGTTGTTATAAAGTTTAGTCCTTGTTGTTAATAAACATTGTACGACACTTAATGGCGTAGCCACCCACAAGGCTAAGGTGGGCTGTAGTCCAGAGAGGTTTTCTGTAAGGGTAGTGCTATTCATGCACTCATTTTTATTTCTTACACACCTCTCTTAATTGTCGGTTGTTCGGATCGAATGAATTGAAGATGATCACTAATAAAATATTAATAAGGCTGTGTTGGAAGTAAAATGAGTTTGTGAATAGATCTATTCTTTTGTAAACTCATACTTATAGCTTACTCAATTTCAATACAGATTATTATTTTGACATATATTTAGTAGATGAGAGGTGGTAAATAATATGTTTTATGCTAAAAATTATAAATAATACATTTTATGCTAAAAATTATAAATTAATTATATCTCTAGTCCCCCTTTATTTACTTATTCTTGATTTAATTAGTAGGTTAATTATTTATATGATTCTTGAATTTATCAGTTATGATTAAGATTTTGAAAATAGTTTATATTTATATTGTTGTTCTTTTATATTGATTATTATATAATTTTATATAAGCAAAAAAATAAACATATAATTTTATAGTATTATTTTCAGCTAGTCCATCCAAGAAAAAAATCTTGACTCCGTCCTTAACGACACTAAGTCTTAATCTAATCTTGTCAAGTAAAACTTAATAAAAGCAAACAAAGTACCCTTAAAGTCCACTTATGATTATTTCAAACGGACACGAAAAATATCACTGTTGAATTTATGGCCTAATTATAGTGGGCCTTTAGTTGACCCAGCAGCCCAATGTTAGATGGGTCTTATCTGCCCATGTAAAAGCCACATGCATGACTAGGGTTATAAGGTAGCAAGCATGTTCGATATATAAGGCAGCAGCTTTTTTATTTCAGATTATGAAGAGTGAACTGAGAAGCAGGCGAGCAGCTGATATATTTGAATAGCAGAAAAAGTGCTGCTCCCCTTTTTGTTGTCAATCACCCCATCAAAGTTGTGTTAATTTTGAATTTTGTAAAGAGAGGAAGTTAATCACTATATTTTTTCTTTATTTTTTTTGTTTGATGTGTGAGAGTTGTTTGGTGCATTGGGTTTTTGGGTTGTGAGATTTTCATAAATACTTTGTAAACACTTCATTTGGTTGATTGTGAATTATTGGGTGAGCTCCTACTGCTATGAGGACGGACTCCGTCCTTCAATTACGTTGACTGTTAAGAAACCTCGTTAAATTTTGGCATCTTTTCTAATTTATTCTTGCATATCATTTTGATAAATTTCTTGCGGGTTAGCTTGTGTTTTTCGGATCAGGATCCTCTCCTGATCTTTGTATGGGGATCCTCATGACCAACAAGTGTGGGCCGTTGGATGAAAATCCAACGGCTACAAACAGGAGGGTCCCTTTAAAGTTATAATAATTATAACCGTTGGATTTTTATCCAACTGCCCACACTTGTTGGTCATGAGGATTCCCATACAAAGATCCTGATCCGTGTTTTTCCAGTTGTTAGGGTGCTATTATTTGAAATGACTTTTAATCCAACGACCGACACTTGTTGGTCATGAGGATTCCCATACAAAGATTCTGATCCGTGTTTTTCCAGTTGTTAGGGTGCTATTATTTGGAATGACTTTTCTTGCACTACGAGTATTTGGTGCTGCCACAGATCTACTTTCAAGGAAGAGGTTCTGCTTAGCTTTGGTACGTAGTTGATTTGCCCCTTCCCGGGATTTACAAGTGGTTAGCAACGTGTGTTGAAATATTAATGTAAAAGTTGTATTGATAGTGATACAAATCACGAGGATAAATGCTTGGTGTAGAAGAAACCACATCTGCATGCTACCTTTAGTTGGAAAGAGAGAGTTAGGGTTGGTTTGGTATTGCTGTACTTTGAAAAAAAACTGCTTCTGCTGTGCTGTGAGAATAAGCAGCTGTGAAATAAAGCAGTAGAGTGTTTGGTAAACTTTTTTGTAAAAGTGCTTTTGAAAAGAAAAAAAAAGCAGTATTAGAGTGTTTGGTAAACTTTAATGTAAAACAGATGTGAAAAAAGCCCGTTTTTCAAAGCTGAGTTTTGCAGCTTCTTGTTTTTGGCTTTTTTTCACCCAAAACGGTGAAAAAAAGCTGAAACTGAGTGTTTACCAAACACAAAAACAGCTCCCAGCTTTTTTTTATAGCAGTTTTTTTCAAAATCACCTCAGTACCAAACCAGGTCTTAATCTCATCCAATTAAAGGGGGGTTGAAATATCTTCAACAATGTGCTTTCTCTATGAACGAGAGAGGGAAGTCTTTTGTGGGGTTGGAAACAAACGTGGACTCTAAACATTGGGTCGGTTTCTGAATTCTAAAAACACCTATCAAATTATGAAATAAATCGAAATAAATCTGGACTTTATTAGAACCAACCTCTAAATTTCATGGTTTAATTGCATATACTCAGTAGGCCAACTTAAAGAAAAATCCGAAAAATATTTGGCTCCTTACAATAATTTAATGAGACATTTCCCATTGTACACGAATTAGAAGAATATCCTACCCTGTAGCCTCGGCGTTCCGATAGAAGTATGGAACCTTTGCAAAGTTCATATATATCAGATTAAAATAGAGTGGAAGCTGGATGATAGAAAAAAAAGCTAGAGGCATGCAGGCCATTAGATAAACTGGCACGGCAAAGTGTTTGAGCTTATCCTTTAGCATGAAGAAATGTCCAGCGCAAAATGAAACCAGCATCGAAAGGATGGACAAGAAGAGCGTTGTTAAGCCCACTAAAAACTTGATAGGCAGCTGCTTTCCAAAAGCCCCTTCGGGGAACCGGGACATCAGGATGGACAGGAATATGGCCATGGACATGACGGAGGAGCACATCGCAAGGAGAGATGAGATGGCAAACACCTCAAAAGCCGCCTGGTTTTCAAAGATTGGAGTGCCAGTAACCTCTCTGATGCCCCCAGGAACTGCAGTAGCAGTGGCAAAGGCAACCGTAGCGACAAGGCCGCCCATGACCGAGCAGTTCTGAGAAGTCTTGGTGAGCCATTCTCCTCCGTCTTTGACTAGCTTAGCGTGTGATTCGCTGAAAATATCCCTTGCAGTCTGGTTTTTTTTGTTGTAGAGGGGAAGGAATTGTGTTGGCAGGGAGCATTTTACGAACTGCACATTAATTCATAAGAAATTAATGTTCAAGATCAATCTTAAGGGGACGAAATCGTTCAAATTCTTTGCACAAAGACCAAATTGACTCTATATTCATGTAAAACAGCGGGACCAAAGATGTATAACCTTCTGTTATTTGTAAGATAAATTCCCAAATTAGAACAAAGACACTAAATAGACAATAAAATCATGGTTTAGTGCTTATTTATCGTCGTTTTAGAGTCCTTTAATTCTATTTTTTATTTTCCTTTTTTGGTTAAATCAATTCCATTTTTTATTAAAAGTTCGAAATTGGTTCTATATAAATATTATCTTAATATAAAATAGGTGATGAGGAACAACATGGATTCCACATATGAGCTATATATTATTTTGTCATATCTTTGACGTGAGACTTTCTCCAACCGGAACCTCGTCTCATGATAAAAATTTTATTTCACATAGCTAGGATCAAACCCTAGTACTTGGTGTGATAATTATTGGCTTTAATATGATTAAGACCATGGGTTTAAAACTTACCTCAAACCATTTGATTTCCCATTGCATTTGTAACGCAGGCCCAAGATCATGGCAAGGGTTTTTGGCTTCTAACATTGCTGCTGCTGAGAGATGAATCGCATTATTCCCTGCATTATCCACTTGGCTGAACACGTCTCTGGTCAGTATTTTTCTCTTCAGTAAGAGTTGGAGCACACATAGTTGCCTGTTCCCTGCAGCTAACAAAACCGCGTTCTTTCCCTCTGCGTTAATGTCCCGGATGGCCACCGGAAAAAATTCAAGGATCTCCTCCACCATTTCAATCACACCATTTTTTGCAGCAATCAAAAAGGGTGTTTCCAACTTCCCCATTTCGGGTGTTTCCAACGTCCCCATTTCAAGGGTTTTCTCCTCTGTCTCTTCGGTAAAGCAGTAATCAAAGTTACTGCATGGGGACATCCGACTCCTCCGAGCCCAAGGTGGCTTCGTCGATGCCGATGACCCTGTGTACATTTCATCAGATATATCGTATTTATTTTTTGTGGCTTAAGCTCGATTACTACGATCCCACTAAAGCAGTTTTCCTTAATAAACTTGATTTTAGAATCTAGGTTTGGATATCTAGTATTATTAGAATAATCACATTGTCAGTCGTATTACCGTCGTAAGGTAAGGCCTTGTGTCATGCTTGACGCCTTTGAACCGATGATGCCGATAGATGTCGCAAGGCCTTGGTCCACCATCCGTGCCGAATTCGCGTAGATTTATGTTGGCGTTGCCTCATCGTTGTGTTAATGGGATGGATATTTGTATAGATATTCGGAAGCACGACTTGGTAAATTTGTATGAATTTTATGAAATAATGTCATTTTAGAAAATAATCTTTGCAAATTAGTGTTTCTTTATTGTGTGTGTGTTTTTTTTCCACAAATACCATCGCGGTTGATCACCTGGGCTGCCCGCTCTACTTTTGGTTCGGGTTAGAATGACCCAACAGCAGAGATGCCCAATGGTATCTAGGCAGCCACGCCGACTCCATCGCTTCATCAGTCCTGAACCTCAATCTGCCTAGCGTAGTCATAACGAAGACTGGACGGCGTTGTGGTAGCCCCATCCCCCATGTTGACGTCGCGGAGGCCGATGCTAATTCGGCGGTCGTTCACCTTCAGGTGACGTAGAACTCCTGGTCCAGGGTGGGAAGAAGGTCAAAGTGCGGGGGATCTGTAGATGCTTGTCCTCAAACCGGATCACCCGCGTAACTCAACACAAGATCATGGTAGTTTACCACCCACTTCATCGATGAGCGGACGTCAACAGTCAACAGTCTGTTGACTCACGACATGGGACACGTCATTCGCACCAAGTGCTCATGCTCGCCTCTATCTAGAAGATCACTCCCCAGGTGCATGAGGCGATGATGCGAGAGATCTCGATAAGTGTACTTTTGTAAAATTTTTTTTTTTTTTTTTTTTTACCTGTCTGTTTCATGTCACTTCGAGATCGACATGAAAGAGCCAGGTATGTCTGAATACATAAACCGGGATCGGTATAAAGAGTGAAACTACGAGCTGCACATGTACTACCAGATTTTTGCATCTCCTGCTGATGCTTTGACCGGTTCATCCCTGGAGTTTGTGGAAATGATGGATGAGTGGCACTGGCTCTACAGACATTATTAGAGTCCGAATTTTTTGATAAGTTTTTTTTTTTGTTTAATTTCATTTTAAATTTAATTATTTTTTTATTCACTGCTGAAATTAATGGCAAATAAGAGTTATCGGGTCGAGGAACGGCATCAGAACGGTGGAAGTTGGGGCTTGGGAGGATACACAGCCAATTATGGCAATCAGGTGGCTAATGATATTTATGCAAGTGTTCCGTTAAATATTTTAATTCTAAATTTTATTACACTTAAAATTTCAAAATTATGATCGATAATCTTAATTGGTTTCTTTTTTTTTCCAGGTTTCTGTGTTGTAGAAAAATGACGAGTACTTGGCCAACCTTTCCCAACAACAACTGGACGCGCCAATAGAGTAGCTGACACTTGATCTAGATATGTCTCCATGGTTGTTGATGGATGAGAATGGGCGGGGAATGGTAAAGAGATCTGCGGTCTAGGAGAGGGTTGAGTTCAAGACATCGGAGGATCTCTTTCATCTAGCTCTCAACCTCCAAGTATAACATCTTCTAGATTTTAGGGGAGACGAACCACGCTGGCGAGGATAAGCTCAAGAAAAAGTTGGGGCCCAAGCAAGAGGAAAAGTTTCGGCAATACATTGTTGAGATGAGGCTGTGTCACATCCTATCCCAAATTTAATCGTATTTTATTCCTTGACACGAGAAAATTACAAGAATACCTCTAACGAGTTAAGTGGATATCCTAGAGGGAAATCCTATGTGGACATCTGAGTCATTGTCAATCTCTGTCCCGTTTCACGTCTTTCTAGGCATTACATGTTGTTACGAACATATGAGCATGATCAAGAAGTAAAACGAACGAATTACGCACATTTTTTTAATGAGAGGCAAAATAGTAATTTTTCATTCTCGAAAATCTATTACTTGTTTTTCAAGACAACATTGGGTTGCCCTTTTGCGAGCAGCAGATTGTGATATAGTTGGCATATTCGTTGGACTTGTTACACAAGTCAGCAAGTGGGTCCGTTTACATTAGTATTTTATTACTTAAGCCTCACATCTAATTAATTATTGTTTGGGCATGATACAAAGATACGCACAAACTGACGAATACTCGAGGACATCAACGCGTGGATGTAATAGAAATGAAATTCAAAGCTACAACCAAAATTTTGCAGGAAACGGTGATTCAAGTGCAAATCGGTAATTTCAAGTTATTGAAATTATTGTGCATGTTCTGAAGTAAGAGGGTGTGCCAAGTGGGCCCTCCCCCTCACCACACCCACGTGTCTCTCTCCCTCTTTCGGGTGCACTCTCACCTCTCTCGGACTCTCCGTCGCTTACCCTTATCTCACTCACCTATTCTCTAGTCTCTCCCTTCTCTCTCTTTCCCCTAACCTCTGCAACTCTTCCCTCTCTGTTTTGCACAGAAAACACAGACGGCGCCCCGCGCTGTTTCCTGTCGAAACCTGAGCCACCCAAACCTCCATCTCTCTTCCTCTCGCCCCTCCTCGAGTCCTAGAATTTCAGAAAAAATGTTGGACTCAAACAGAGACCGACATGCCCACGAAATTAGGTGTGAACTCGAGGGAAAACTCCGGCTAAATTCTGCCGTTCACGGCCAAGTTAAGCCTCGGGGACACCGTCTTTCTCTTCCTTTTGATGTTCTGATGCGATTGCTGAGTCTGCATACATGATTTGGTAGAGTTTTGGTGCAGATGTAACTTGGTAAATCCTTATCTTCCTTTTCCCCAGCTTCATTTCCATAGGTAGATTGTGTGATTTGGTTGTGAAATGAGCTCGAAACGAGCTCTGGAATAGGACCCCAGATTCTGGCCGTTCACAGGCCTCACGAGGTTATGCCTGTACTCTCAGGAGCGTGAAAGACGGGGTCGTGGGTCACACGCGCCTCCCAGCGGAGGTACTATGCTCTGCCACCGGGCAAGGCAGAGTCCGGCCAAACTCGGTGCGTGGCGGTGAAATAGCAGTGTTCAAATTTTGAGGGTATCTTTTAGAATTTTATTATTTTAAAAGTTTCTTTTAATTAGGATTAGCACACTAGGGTTGGAAGTAGTTAAGCAACTATAGATTCACTATTAGGGTTGTTACGATGGGTCACCATAAATTCTAATTAAGCAAGTGAAATAGCTGTTACCTTCTGGGAGCATGAAGATGGCGCGGCCGTCAACAAGTTCATAAGGTGTGGTCTCATCATTGTCTTTTTTCTTTCTGGGAAGGTGCTGCGGTGACCTGCGGAATCATACCACTGTCTTCATACTCATACATGGCAGCTAGTCTTAACAATTCGTTCATGATCTGAACAGACCATTTGTGTTTTTCTTTCTTATCCCTTATCTTTCTTATCTGCGTAGACCCTTTAAACAACATATGATGATTAGATAAAGAAAATTATGTATCTAAATAAGAGAGATTAGGAGATAAAATGAAAAGTGGCTTTATTACCTGATCCAAAAACAATCATCATTGCCTTTGATCAAATCTTGACAAACTCAAAGCAGGTGTTGTAGTTTACGGGAAACTTTTGGTATCCTTGACCTTGATCAACATTGGATTTTGACCCTGCATATGTTAAAGGTAATAATCTGCCGTCTTTTTGTATGTCTAGTTTTGTAATTTGCGTTTTGATTTAAACTCTAATCTGTTGTCACATATATGGCAGAGATGAATTGTAATGTTGTTGGCCTATTGCCTTTCGTTCATATCTTCATTTTTTTTCTTTCTAATCTTTAATTCTAGATATGATTAGGTTGGAAGATGGTCTGAATGCCAATAGCATATATAAAATTTTCTCGACCAACTAAGATTTTTAAACCCGAAAACCCTAATTTGCTTCCCTATATTTAGGATTTCTACTCCTGTTAAATGTGACAAAATAATAATATTAGTATTTGATTCCTGAAGGGACAATACTTTCCTCATTCAAGGAAGAGAGGAAAGTCTCTATCCACGAACGTCATAAATAATTAAGCAAAACTGTTTATGTTCTTTAATCATCATCATTGCTAGACAAATGTATTTTGATTTGGAGGCCGTTTCAAAGAAATTGACGGTTCATCTTGAAGAAGATTTTTGTTATCATAATCGTCAATTTTTTGACACATATGGATGGCTATACGGTCTCCAAATCAAAAGAATTTTCTATAACTGATCTTTAGATGATGATAAAAAGAATGAATGGTTTCAATTGTGACATTTGTACAGTGAAAGGGGGGGAGGAGGATCTTTCCCCTTACTGGAAGGAGGAAACTATTATATATATCCTTCTTGAAGTACCTTATAATAAAAGTGTAAATGTAGAAAGGTTACGCAGCATGCCTTCCTTAGAAGTTACCTGGGTTCTCTGGATCTGCTGATCGTATTTCTCCTCTCTGTAATGGAGGGACGCTCCCTGTACCTGCTGATTGTAGTAGTGAGCATAAGAGAGTTACATCGAACTATGAAGATAAAAAATTCATAAATTACTCAAACAATTGAGGTATTTTGAGATATTTGATTTTGAATTGATCCCCTACCGCTGAGAATTGATGTCTTGAACAACCCAATGAAGTTGATGCATGTATGGTAGTTTTCTGGATATTTGGGATTCTCTTCCTCTTTGAATGGCTTAATTATCCCCTCATTATATGGATCCCGTTGCTCCGGCTTCAGCTTACCAACATAAATACCTTCCAAATTACCATATATATATACAAACAAGAATGAGTAGGGTGATACATGTAACTAGATTTCAATCTTACCGATAATATTCTGTATAGTACTCACAGTGGTAAATAATTTTTTCGAATGGGCCGAGGTGGCTACCGCTTTTGAAGGCAGAAGGCTTGGTAGCCAGAATATGAAGAGGGGAAACGCCTTGCACATTGACATAATTAACAAGATCTCCATACAAGTCAATTATCTGAAATGCCAAATCTGTCAACCAACAAGGTACACATTATTATTTATTTTACATATCATAAGGGAATATATAGCTGATATGTATGGAAGTCATCAAGTTAAGGGATAATTACCAAAGTATTCCCTAGCAATTGCAACATGCAACATGGTCTCACCATCATTTCTCCTACAATATTTGTAGCGTTTCTGAGGATCATTTCCAAGGGTAGGGGTATAGATGTAGTGCATGCGTAAGAAGGCATCTTTTTTACCATAGGCAGCAGCCAAGAATAGAGGAGTCTCATTGTCTACATTCCGAGCACCGACCAATGATGGATGATCTTTGGCAATGCACAAACACATTATCTCGTTTCCCATCCATGCTGCGACGTGGAGCGGGGTATTCCCTCCCTCGTTTTGAATTTCAAGCTCCTTTTCTTTAATCAGTTTTACTAGCTTTTCAACATATTCTTCTTGGCCATCGGATACTGCTACGTGTAGTGCTGTGTCACCTGACTTGGTGATTTTTGCCCCGTGAGCCTTCTCGTTGAGCTCATAGGTTCTAACAACTGCTTCCCACTCGCTTTCCATGGCAATTCGGCACAAGTATTTCTTGATCTTCTCTCGGTCCATACTCTTGATCTCCTCATCCATGAAAAAATCCGCATCTATTATTGGGTACATTTCTTCTCTTCCTGATATGAGTGGCAATCAACACTGACGTTTGTCTTCATATATATTCTGGCAAGTAAATCATGTTTAACTTGTAAAGTAGCACAGTTTCCAAAAGAAGATACTTCTTCTGTGACCACAACTCTCTACTCTACCCTTTACACTTGCTAAATTACAAAGAAAATTCTCTTCACCCTTTTCTTTAATTTGTTACTTACCTCCCCTTTACGCTTGTTAAAAAAGTTCACAACAGCTATTCCATACTTCCCCTTTCGTTTTTCGGTTTCCAGCCGTGGGCGTACAACATAAGAAAGTCATTCTTATCACCTAGCAAAAGATGACCCAATGATCTTGATTTTGGAAATCACTTTTATCACCTAGCACTGCAAGTATTAGATGCTTCCTGAATTTACTTGGTGTACAATTTTCCAACAAGAGACGAAACTGTCGGTGCTTCCTCTTCATTTCTTTTTCTCTTTTCCTTTAACAATGTCTTAAACTTGACTAAATATCAATGTTGTAAAAGGCGAAAGTATAGGCGATGTGTTTCATGGATAGCCTTGCCTAGACGAAAGTCTTGAGGCGTGAGACCCTAAATTTTTTTATATATGTAATATTACGCTGATATACTCACACACTCTTTTAATAATAAAAACAAAATTATGCTATCTTTAAATGTGTTGGTCACGTGCTTTGTTGGATCTATAAACGATGTTAAGAACTTAAAAAAGTATGGATGCGTTTTGAGTTTTTTTGGGTCTATAAAATATATCAAACAAAAAGTATTAAAAATTCTTTCTGCTTATCTTTTAGTTTTTCAATATATATATTAGAGTAAAAAACAAAAAAAACTATCTCAATTATGAATTGAACCATAATCTCATACCTCATATTTTAAACATTGCAATGTAATACCTCAACTCATGCATTTGTTGCAATGTCATACCTATATTAAATTTTGTGACATTCCACATCGCCCAGGGGAGTGATCCTTATATATATATATTCACATCTCTACCTAACACGAGGCTTTTTGGGAGATCACTGGTTTCGGGTTCCATCAGAACTCCGAAGTTAAGCGAGTAGCGCGCGAGAGCATTCCCATGATGGATGACCCACTGGAAAGTTCTCGTGTGAGTTCTCAAAAACAAAACCGTGAGGGCGTGGTTGGGGTCCAAAGGGGACAATATCATACTATAGTGGAGTCGGGCCCGAGAAGTGGTCTTGCCCGGGCCGGGATGTGACAATTTAGTATCAGAGCCTAATCCTGGCCGCGTGTGTGCCGACAAGGACGTTGGGCCCCTAAGGGGGTGGATTGTGACATCCCACATCGCCCCGGAGAGTGATCCTTATATGTATATTTTCATCTCTACCTAGCACGAGGCCTTTTTGGTGCTCACTGGTTTCAGGTTCCATCGGAACTCCGAAGTTAACCGAGTAGCGCACGAGAGCATTATCATGATTGGTGACCCATTGGGAAGTTCTCGTATGAGTTCCCAAAAACAAAACCGTGAGGGCGTGGTTGGGGCCCAAAGCGGACAATATCGTGCTACAGTGGAGTCGGGCCCGGGAAGTGGTCCTGCCCGGGCCAGGATGTGACAAATTTTCTATCAATTTGACTGTTAAATGATGACGTGGCAATAGCGAGATCCACTCCTTCTCCAATTGGAATAAAATGTTAATAATTTATTTATTTATTAATAAAAATTAATAATTTATAATAAAAAATTAATAATTCATGATGAATATTAATAATAGGGTTGTTAAAAGATAACGTGGCGAATGAGTCCCATCACGTCATCATTAACAGCCAAATTGGCATAAAACTTAACGGAAGTATGACATTACAACAAATTCATAAGTTGAGGTATGACATTGCATTGTTTAAAATACGAGGTATGAAATTGTAGTTCGACCTATAGTAAAGATAAGTTTTGTGTAATTTATACATTAGTATAACAACATAAACTTACAAAAAAGAATACTAAAAGAATATGACATTAAAAGCTATCATGAAAGAGAAAAAAATCCAAATTTTTTTAGAGAAACAAGCCACAAAAGCTTTCGTCTTATTCAAACTCTCTGCAACTGAAGAAAAAAACCCAAATTTTATCCTTTTTTTTTTCCCTCCAGATTTCGTCAACTTTTAAACAAAGCCGACACCCAATCGAACACCCTAATGAAGCTAGGCCAGTTTTCCGCCGACTCCCACAAAATAGAGGCGAAATTGCTCCCACCCCGCCTCCAAGGTTGCCTACTCACGTCCTGAGGCAAGTTTTTTAAAGCACTACCAAATATGCTTCTAATTAAAAGTCCTAAACCAGTACATCAGTGTCTATTTATGAGTTGAGTTCAATTTTCTTAGCAACAATTAGGATTAAGTACCTAAAATTCTCTAACCATTTAGAGTCATTACAAATCGGTCTCAACATTTTTAAACATTCCAAACAAGTACCCAACCTATAAAAAATGTCACTTACATTTTTTTTCACAAACGATATTATCTACACTAAAAGAGAGGGGCATTGGCTTAACCTACAATGAGGCAGCAATACTGTGGTTCAAATTTATCTTTGGCAAGAATTGAACCTAAGACCTCTACATTACAAATGTCACATGCTTAAGCCCTAGTTAATTTTAGTTAAGTGTACATGTGGCAACAATGGGTCCCACTTTTTAGCTCACTTGACCACTAACATAATAATACAAATAACTTTAAAAAAATGTGAAAATGATAAAATAAAAATAAATAAACAAATTCAAAAATAAAATAAAAAACAAAAATGAAGATTGGGAAATATTATGACCACCAAACCATCCCAACCTTTGTATTCAAAATTCACCAACTGGATAGTTCATGGTCAACATTAATATTAATTGCCTCAAAATTTGAATTTAAAATAAATTATGTAATATGTAACATCCCACATCGCCCAAGGGAGTGGATCCTGTAAGTCTTATATGTATATTCTCATCTCTACTTAGCACAAGGCCTTTTGGGAGCTTACTGGCTTCGGGTTCCGTAGGAACTTCGAAGTTAAGCGAGTTCGCGCAAGAGCAATCCCAGGATGGGTGACCCACTGGGAAGTTCTCATGTGAGTTCCCAGAAAAAATATCATGGTCAGGGTCCAAAGAGGACAATATCTTACTACGGTCGAGTCGAGCCCGGGATGTGACAGATTAGTATCAGAGCTAATCCCTGGCCGGATGTGTGCCGACGAGAACGTCGGGCCCCTAAGGGGGGTGGATTGTAACATCCCACATCGCCCAGGGAAGTGGATCTTGTAAGCTTATATGTATATTCTCATCTTTACCTAGCACGAGGCCTTTTGGGAGCTCACTGGCTTCAGGTTTCGTAGGAACTTCGAAGTTAAGTGAGTTCGCGCAAGAGTAATCCCAAGATGGGTGACCCACCGGGAAGTTCTCAGTGTGAGTTCTCAGAAACAAAACCGTAAGAGTGTGGTCGAGGCCCAAAACGGACAATATCGTGCTACGGTGGAGTCAAGCCCGGAATGTGGTGGGGGGCCGGGGCTGGGATGTGACATAATATGAAACCTAATGATCAAGCGGGTATTGAATTGAAACAAAAATGGACCTAAATTGAAATTACATCAATAAGTCAATCTCCTAACAAAGAATATGGTTAAGATGTCACGGCCCGATCCCCATATATGTTTAGCATCGATCATCACGTGACGTCACCACATACCTGTTCATATTTCATGCCCCGGCTCCAAGACATAACTAAAACACAAATCAAAGGTCCTACAACCTTTGCGTTAGACTACTTCCATTGTTCTTAACTGCACAAGAACATTTCTCAGATTCTGAGCATTCGCAATACAGCTACAACCTCGGGAGGAATCAGGCGGCACCAATATGGATATATCATGCTAGTTATGTATATAAATGGTGGAGGTTTTTCATCATCTATGGTATTCACAGCAGCGCAGATAGGAATTGATTCTTTCCCTACTGAAATATCATCAGCGCATAGGCCTTCCCGAACTTTAAATTTTTTAGACTTCTTCACTTCATTCCAAGCCAGCTCTGGTTGATCTTGGATTCTGTCTAGTTGAAAATTGAAAACAAGCTTACCTTGAGAGCCCATACCCTGCCAACATTTCTCTACCAAATATAGTCCATCATACACATGTGTTAACTTTTTCCATCTTCAGAGCCACGGATCACTCATAACAGGCTTTAGTTCATTCTATGTTAGTGCTTTGAGTCTCGACACACTTGGAATGAACACGGTGTGATTGACACAACATCATGTTTATATAAAGTACTCATAGAGTTACGAAAAACACTTGAGTACCCTGTGAAATAAGCTTCAATGACTAATGAGGCACCGGTGTGATGCCAACTAAAGACCCTCTAAGACCTAATTCAGCGACGTTTCAATGAATGAACTTATAAAAAGCATCTAGAACTCTAAAAATGGCTTGCCTTTGGTGCGTGCAATAGGGTCTTGAAGAAGTTGTGAGGCTTAATGGTAGGTATAACTTGAGAACCAAGGAAAGAGTAAGGGGAGTGTACTCAAACTCGGATTTAAAAGGATTTTAAAAGACTTTAAAATCTTAATGTAGTCAATTAAAAGATTTTAAAGTATTTTAGAACCCATCCAAATCTAGGTGTAATCAATTAAAAGATTTTAAAGGATTTTAAAATCCATCCAAATCTAAGTGTATTAAAAAAATTAAGATTTTGGAGGATTTCAATAAGTTGTGGATTTTGTAGGATTTGAGAGCAAAAAGTATATATAACCAAGACTAAAAAGAATTCAACCTCACCCCCTAAGATTTCAAATCCTTCCACCACAATCTATTCAAATTCTTTAAAATTCATATGGTTTTTGTAGTAATCTTTAATCCTCTTAAATCCTATAAAATCTATCACTTTTAAAATCATTTCAAATCTTAGTTTGACTACACCTCTCCAAAAATTTTGGAAATTCAGATTTGGATCCCACTCAAAATCTGAGTTGGATTAGGAGTCAAATTTGGAAGTTTAGGAAGAAGACCAAATCTCGGTTGAATTCGGACTATAAATCTCTTTCTAGCAGGCAAGTTTCATATTGGGCCCTCTTTATTCTTCTTAGACCAAATTGGGCATATAATATTTTTCATTTAATGGGGTACAATAAGAGGTATTTCGATATTTCCTTCGTAGCTTGTACACGTTTTGTGACCTTGCAAATTAGGGTCCTACAATTTAGACTTGTGACAAATCAATCATGTGGCTCCATCTATATTATAATATCCAAATTGAAGATGTATATGTATACATATATGTGCATAAACCTAAATTTTGAGGAATAAAATCAATAAAATCCAAATTGAAGATGTATTTGTATATGTAGTTGCAAAACAATTCAAGAGAATTAATTTGTGGTTTATTTTCAACAAAATGAAGAACAGAATAGAAAAGAGAGACATGCATCCTCAAAGCTTGAGCTCAAGAATTCTTAGCCCCTTTAAGATCATTTATGAATCTGTAATTTACTTGCCGGAATGACCCGACAAGCGAACGTACCTTATCTTCGAAGAATCCCAAACACAAAACCACATTCTGATCAACCTGGAACGTTATGAATGCATCTTGAGGTTTTGAATCAAGGTGAGCATTTTCAAAGTGAAATGTCAAAGTAGGCAAGTCTTTGAACCCTAGAGGCAGTTTCCATTCGTAGCACAGATCGAAGTTAGCCTTGGTAGGACTCGTATTCTTAACTAGGCGAGGAAACCGCATAAAATACATCTCCAGAAACTGAATTAGTGCCTTGAAAGCAGATGTGATAAGATAAGAAAGTGTACTACCATTGTCCAAGAAACACCCTCCTGTTTTGCCTCCATCTCGTATAGCAAAGGCCGTTGGATCTATTAGAAGCTTTTGTCCGTGCACGCTTATGCCCAACATATTCACGTAGTAATATGATATGCCTGGAAGGAGGGCTAATTTCGTGACGCGTACTCCCTCGAGTGGTTATGGTATGCCTGCGACCTTGAAGTCTTCCAGCCTACCGAATGTAATGTTCTTTGTGTCATAAGCACAACCGAACACAATGTTTTCTATAGGCTGTGGTCGCCCACTGCTTGACAAGGAATAGAAAGTTTCACCTGCAAGCAACAAAGAAAACAAAAGCAAAAGATGTTACCCATGTCCCTGCAAATATGTGGATCAAATGTATCAATAAGGACCATATTTCCAAAATCAGACCCAAATGACTCTTTTATTAAGGCTTGGGATGTCCAAAACATATTTCCAAAAGGGCCCATCGCCAAAAGAGACCATCTTGGACACCAAAATGTCCAAATAAGCTCAAAATGTCAATTTAATAGCACTGCATGCTGCACTTTTATTTTATCGTCATAAATTATCTGCTCGGTAGAAAAATATGAAACTTTAATACGAATAATTTGAGAGACTCATGAACATTCTCCAATTTAAACCACTCAAAAATTCATCTATTTGATCACTTTTTGCTCAAGAGGAAATCACATGTCCTACATTAGAATATAAATGAAATTATCAAAACTTCATCAAAATAACCAATAAATATATACATAAAATAGAGTAAAATATATAGTATAATATTGACTCATCACGAGTCTAGAGAAGACGGAAGAACTAGGATTCCCTCCCCTCCTTTTTCCACCTCCTTCCATCTTCTCCTCTTACATTCTCTATTTTGTCTTTCTCCTTCTATAAAAAATTAATATAAGATGTTGACGTGACTTAATTATGACCATTCAAATAAGAGGAAATGGAAGGAGAGGAAAAAAAACAAAGAGGAGATAATCCTACTCCGAGACGGAAAGCAAGTCTTCTATAGTCTTCTAGCGTGCAAATCTAGTAATTTGAGTTTGAGTCAACGCCTTTAGTATTTGTTTCCCCAGTGGGGGGCTTACCTCGTTAAAATACTTTTGCACTGTGATTTCAGTCTTATACAAGTTAAGTTTGTTCAAATCTAGCAATTCTTCGTCGCTCTTGTATATATGGTATAACAAGATCATATTTCATCTGCAATCCCTTTTGTCTAAGTTGTTTATACAATAAGTTAAATTTTGTTGGTATTTTTGTCCCCATCTAGCTTATTCTTATTCAGTGTGTTAAAATTTTCAACATAGCACCGCCTAAGCCTGACGCTAGGTGGTAGTTGACCACCGTCACGATTAATCACCATATGTAAAAAGCTTATATAGGGGGGAAAAAAAATATATATATATACAGTTGTCAATATACTTGCAGAAAGTAATCAAAGGTCTTATTTGGTATAAGAGGGTTGGATTAGAATGAATAACCCTTTAATTTCAAAGCATATTGGATAATGTCTTTATACAGTTGTCAATATACTCACAGCCTCTCGCACAAGGCGACAGGAGTGGTACTATAATCCTTGGTCCTCGGCTTAATTAGCCCCACTTGGATTTGGACCCTTTCACTCAAGCCGACAGGAGTGGTACTATAATCCTTCATTTTCCATGTGTTACTCAAGTCCTTTTCTTTTCATTTAATGAAACTTATCTTTTCTTCCAAATTTTTCCGCCAAGTCCAAACTGATCCTCCCAAGTTGGCTGTCGACCAAACGTTGGATTCACTATTAGAAAGAACCGAGGGTCAAATTACATAGTACTCACTTGCATTGAGCCCCATGGCACTTGTGGAAAAAAATACGTCTTCTGCTCAGCCTGCACTGACCACATCTGTCTTTAATCAAGGAAATTGCCCCTTCAAATGCATCACGGAGGAGACACCACTGTCTTCCTGCTTTGATTCTTCAGCACCTCCAAAGCCCTTGTTCATTGTTACACCGACGGTAGCCGGCACTTACCCTGTAATCTTGCTTCATCACGGCTTCTACCTCCGTAACTACTTCTACGAGGAGTTACTCCAGCACATAGTCTCACATGGATTCATAGCTGTAGCACCTCAGGTAATATAGTCTTACCATTCTATATTAACGTCCAATACAATTTCAGAATAATTTATTTTGTGTTAATCCAACAATTGTCGTCCATGAGATTTTTGGTCCAATCTACTCCGCCAAAAGGGTTATGAGTGTTTGAAAATGCTTCTCCAAAAACCATATATGCCCGTAAGAACTTTTGTTTTCTTAAAAAACACTTGAAAGTGCTTTCTTAGAAAGCACCTAGAACTTCCAAGTTCTTTAATTTAAACTCATTTTCGTTATCTGAAAAATATTTTCACCCTTCTAAATGAACTTTCAAACAAACTTTTAATTTAGAAATTAACTAAAATAATCATAAATCAAATCTGAATTGTTAAATTGATTAAAATCAAATAATTGTCGTACAATGTTGACCTCATAGCAATCAAATATTGACAATACTGAAAAATTGATCATTTCAAAAATTGATATTTGAAAAAAAAAATATTTTGGCCAATTTAATAAATTGTCTGACAACAGAATTAATTGTGAGTTTGGTTTTTCATTTTGATTAGTTATGTGGGGTTGTGCCTCCAAGTGGACCTGAAGAAGTAGAGTCGGGAGCAAAAGTCATAAACTGGTTGCCAAAAGGCCTCCAACCCCTGCTGCCAGAAAATGTTGTAGCAGACTTCACCAAATTTGCTCTTTCAGGCCACAGCAGAGGTGGGTTTACAGCATTTGCAATAGCACTTGGGCGTGCCAAAACTTCCCTGTCCCTCAAAATTTCAGTCCTAATAGGCATTGATCCTGTGGCCGGTAAAAATCGATACTGCACAACACGTCCTCATATCCTCACCTATTCCCCTCAATCTTTCGACCTCTCGATTCCGGTCACGGTGATCGGCACTGGCCTGGGACCGGAAATTAAAACTTGCATACCTTGTGCCCCAGATGGCGTGAACCACAAGGAGTTCTTCTATGAGTGCAAGCCTCCATGTGCACATTTTGTTGTGAAGGACTACGGTCACATGGACATGTTGGACGATGATCCACAGGGCGTGGTTGGGGCAGTGTCGGGGTGCATGTGTAAAAACGGGACAGGACCGAGGGAGATAATGAGGAAGACTGTGGGTGGGATTGTTGTGGCGTTTCTGAATGCTTATTTGAATGGTGATGATAGGTATTTGCTTGCCATTGTTGGTGATCCTGATAGTTCTCCTGCAAAGCTTGAACCTGTGGAGTTCATTACAGCATAAGTTCAAGCTCAAGGTCGTCTTGATAATAATCACCGACATTAGCTGCACATATTAGCACATAAAGAGTTATAAGGCCTATCAGTGGTTAATGTCAGTGATTATTTTCAGGCTTTCCTCGAGGGTTATTTCGGATCCTAGATTGTTATTTTCGAATAAACAGCTCAGTCATCAAATGCATGTGCTCAAGTACTGAAATTTGGGGGTTGATATGTACTAGAACCATCTCAATTTTTCTAATTCATTATATCATGTTCATTTAACATTGGTTACTCATGTGCATGCATTATTGTGATATATAATTGCATGAATTATTTCTTGATTTTCTATGTGATTTATTGTAGCAATTAGACTCAAGTTCTCCAACAACATGTACTTAAATGTCAAAGATAAAATGCCAAATGCAGTAAATTGACATTTTGTAAATATCTTGCTCTAACCGAGATGCCAAATAAAAGTACTGTTATTATTGCTAAAAGCAAGTAGCTAGCACTTAATACTGACACAGTGAATACAGTGAAGGAAGAAAACAAAATGATGCCTCCATATGACAGCATCAAATTGGTTGTTTAGGCCACGCCAACCCACCAACACTTTGACCTCTCGGTTCAACCAAAAAAATATAACACCTCTTCTTGTTGTCAAAACAGTCCACGGTGTAGCAGATCGGTTGGACATGCTCAAAAAAGTTAGTTAAATTTTAAGATATACCTAAACCCTTCTCGCTTGGACTTCCCTTTGCATGGTATACCACCATCTCCTCCCCCACTTTCTCCTCCGAATGTGCAACATCCCCCATGCTTTGAAATACATCGGTTCCTTGAGAAGGTTCATTGAAATTTCTTTTTGTATCTTTTGAAACCATGTTCATCTCAGAATTTACATCATCGTGCCGTTCCATTTCTTGTACAGCATGTTCCTTGCATTTTGGTTGAACCTTGTCCCCAATTACTATAGAAATATCCCCTCCACTTTCACCCTTGTGAAACTCTTTGTCTTGAACATCCTCGCCTGTTTGCTTCACATTAATCTTTGCTGTGTTCGATGATGATGGTTCGCCATCCACAGGGGACCTCTCTTGACCAAAGTTCCTTGCCTCCAAGAAGAAATTTTTCGTTGTGACTGGAACATGAGTGGTACACCAAGTGTTTTTATATAAGTGGTGGGAAGTTTTATTTTTTAAGTTATTAACTTTGTAACACACATATCTCATTGTTTGTACAGTAACACATGATGCACCATCCTGTATTCTGGTCACATTGAAAAATTTCTCGTCTCTAGGGCAGGATTTCTTCCACAAAAGAGAAGGGAAGTCCCGAACGGCTGATCCTATTCTTCGAGGGGGATATTCTTTTAACTGCAGTCTTCTCCAGACCATTTCCATTAGAAATGGAGATGGATCCCTTGGTTGGTGAATCAGGCACAACAGCAGCCATCTCTTCATTTGGTGGAGCCACACCAAGCTGACATGGGTTCTTCAACGAATCAGATTTTTCATGCAGCAATGCATTTAAATCAACTCTCTCCACAGTACCAAAAGCCTCACCGTTAATCAATGCAGTTTCATTCACCGAACCAGTAGATACCATTTGGGTTTCAATCCCTTGTTCATGATCGTTGTTACCTCGCTAATCAGAGGCTCGGCAGTCCCCACATCCTTACCGTTCATCAAGTCAGTTTCATCCACATGACCATTTGAGAGGCCGAGCTTGTCAACCCCGTGTCCATCGCCATTTTCCATGGATCGTCCCAATCTTCCCTCAGAGTGACTACCACTAAGTTGAGCAATTCGCCTCGATGATTCCGAATGCTGTTGCAATTCCAAGATCAAACCAAAATGTAATGAAACCTAAAAATCATAGTAATTTCATTACAACCACAATTATTCGCAACGGTCTAATCCAACAACAGAGAAAATTAGGAAGAAGACCAAATCTCGATTGAATTCGGACAATAATTTCTCTTTCTTATCTTGGGCCCTCTTTATTCTTCTTAGGTCCAATTGGGCCTATTTCTTTGACTATAGGTTGAAGCGGACCTGTTATTATGTCATATGAACCTGTTAATATAGCATCAATAGAGAGTTCGGCTAAACCACATAATGGACAGCCTAATTTAGTATCAAATTCGTCATCTACAAGATTCAAATCTTAGACCTCTCACTTCTAAGTGAACAGAAATACTACTAGGCCGTAGTATTGAATGACAAATCATATGAACTTGTTAAATTCAGCTCATAATCTTTCATTATTTAATGGCGTAAAACAAGAGGTATTTCGATAGTTTCTTTCGTATCTTGAACCCATCTTGTTATCTTGCAAATTAAGGTCCCTCAATTTAGATTTGTCACAAATCAATTATGTGGCTTCGCTCGATGGTGCGGCCGCATATTGGAAGGTCAACTTGGAGTTTGGACTTCATTGGAAGTTTTGGCAGAAAAAGTTAAATTTGATAAATAAGTTTAGCTAGCTAATATTAACACTTAAGAAATATATAAGTCATCTTGCCACATCAATTAAACACTAATGAGACTTTTAAAAATAGAGAACTTTATGGACGTGACGTCTATATTTTTATACAATATTTTATAATGCTTGACTTAAGAATTGACGTTAAATCGTATAGTGTCAGAATATATACCGATGTAGATTTCTCCGCATAGATTCTCCCATTCATCCCAAAACGATGAAATTTCCCACCGAAACCTCCACACTCCACAGCACCCGTCACCCAATACCGACAATCCTTTACCACAAAGGCCCACCCGAGACACATCCAGAACCTCCGGAGCGCCACGTGTCAATACCAAATGCAACCGCCAATCCCACATACGTGTACACGCGATCCGTCGCGAAGTCTCTTAACTGCACGCGAAGGTGCAGTTCTGTTCTACTTATAAACCCCCACAACGTCCCTCACTTTCCCGCAAAGAATCCCGGCAACCAAACACTAACGATCTTAATCTGAGCAAACCAGAGAAGATGAATATGATGTGGAATCAGGCGTATCGGAAGAGTGATCCGGAGGCCGGAGCGAGGCCGCTCTACCCTACGATGCTCGAGAGCCCCGAGCTCCGGTGGTCCTTCATCCGCAAAATCTACGCGATCGTTGCCATGCAATTACTCGCCACCATCGCTGTCGCCGCCGTTGTCGTTTCGGTCCGGCCGGTGGCTCACTTCTTTGTCAGCACCGGCGCCGGCCTTGCTCTCTACATTGTTCTCATCATCACGCCTTTCATCGGTACGCTTTGAATTCCTCTGAAAATTGACTGGTTTTTGGGAGTTTGCTGTGAAATTTATGGTGTTGATTTGTTGTTGGTTGGTTGCAGTGCTGTGCCCGTTGTATTATTACCACCAGAAGCATCCGGTGAATTACCTTTTACTTGGAATTTTCACCCTCTCACTGGCATGTGTGGTCGGTTTGACTTGTGCATTTACTAGTGGTAAGTGTTCATAATCTTTCCTCTATTTTTTCTTGGTAATTTGATTTAGGGGTTCTGTAGTTTGTGATGGAATTTTAGCCAAATTAGTCTTGAGAATAGCATAACACCTCATTTTAATTTTGAAATTTAAAATCAATAGAAGTTATTTCTGAGTTTGTTTACTATCAATTATTTTCATCATTTAGCTAAAAACTTCTTAAATAAGGACTGAAATGGTAAAAAAAAAATACTCTTGATTTGATAAACAATGTGTTAAAATAATTTTACAAAATTTGAGAATATTTTTATCATTTTAATTTTATTTAACGGAGATTTTTCACGAAAGTTTTACGAACACAATGATAGTGTTAGTGCCTCAAATCCTTAAATTTTAAAGGGTGGGGATCAAATCCGATAATAGGATGCAGGATGCATAGACATTATTGCTTTCCGGCATGCGATTTTAGGTGCGGGATTTGTTGAGTGGTCTCTAGCCGTCTACTTTGGTGGCCAATTAGATAATATTGTGAGATTATGTAACTTGTTGAATTTAAAACAGGGAAGGTGATTTTGGAGTCGGTTATTCTAACGGCAGTGGTCGTAATCGGTTTGACCTTGTACACGTTCTGGGCTGCAAGGAGAGGCCACGACTTCAACTTTCTTGGTCCCTTCTTGACTGGAGCTATTTTGGTTCTCTTCGTATTTGCTCTGATTCAGGTATGTCTTGTGTTTGCTCGATCCAATGGAGTCATTCTCTACTGTGAATTTGATGTCTTTTTTCGGGTTTTGAACTTTCGGGTTTGTTTGTTCTTACTTGGTTGCAGATTTTGTTCCCGTTGGGTAGGATCTCCGTGATGATATACGGTTGCTTGGCGTCGATCATATTTTGCGGGTACATTGTGTACGACACGGACAACTTGATCAAGCGATACTCTTACGACGAGTACATTTGGGCAGGCAGTCGCTTTGTATTTGGATATCATCAACCTCTTCCTCGCGCTTCTCACCGTTTTCAGGGTTTCTGATAGATGAGAATAAGTTGTTGATTGCTTAGTCTTTTGTTGCCAAATGTGATTACATATTGCTTAGGGTTACTTGTGAATGTCATAAACAACTAAACCCTCTCATTGTACAATGACAAATACCTGATTTTCATGGAAGATTCCGTGTGTTTTGCGTCTTTCCTTTGTTACTTATTTCATTGAATTCAATTCCTGTCTTTCCTTTGCGGGTTAGAATTTCTGTCCGATCAGATGGCGTTCAGATTTAATAATACAATCTCATGTGTTAGAAAACCTAACTCATGTTATTGTTTTATTGGTGTCCAAAAAATCTGACTTATGTTATTGTTTTATTGGTGTTCAGATTTAATAATACAATCTTATGTGTTAGAAAACTTGACTCATGATATTATTTTTGGGAATATCATGTGTCAAAAAATTTGACCCATGTTGTTGTTTCATTGGAACGGGATACCATGACTGCGTTAACTCCATTTCCCACAAGTCATTCTCTTATTTAGGAGGATTCGGAAAGTCCTACTGTACAACGTAGGAGCACTAGTTAGAGCGCCAAAACCGCAGTTCTTGGCCTCTGATTTTTACGAGAAAAACTTGTGTTCTTGACCTCCGTTTTTATGAGAAAAACTTGTGTAGGCGCGTTCAACCTAGTTTGAGCGCGTGAATCGTAGTTCTTGGCCTCTGTTGTATGAGAAAAACTTGTGTAGGGTAGTTACACGCTTAATTTTTCTTAAGGAATTACCTTAAATGATATGGTTTACTGGATGAAATGTTTTTTAACAGCTGAGCTTAGAGTTGAGTACTCTTTGGCTGTTTTTCAGTA